CTGCCTTTCTAGCAGATGCCCTGCTTCTTCAGAATCAGTATTTCGATTGTATTTAGTTGAATGTTAGCTTTTTTTTTTTTCTGAATGCAACTTGACATTTTTAGTTACATAATAGAAATAGTTGCATAATAAACTTTAAGAATGAACTCAAAAAAAAAAAAGTGGAACCTTCTAGGCTGTTGGCTAAAAAGTTCAAGATTAGTGTTTGTTAGTAGTTTGTGCCTATCCAACATACAGCAAAAACCTGACTAGATTGATTTGTATGGTTACTGGCTTTTGTATTAGTGATTACATAATGGTCTTTGGATGTCTTGACTAGAACAATATTTTTTTGTTACAGTGTCCAATTTTGATCAATGTAATGGCTTAATCTCTTATTTTGAATAGATGCTAATTTCCTTTTATAACTGATTTGATGAGTAACCACCCATTTGTGTTTCTCAGAGCGTGTCAGGCTGACTTCTTTCTTATGATTATCTCTAGAGTATCAGACCTGTGCAAAATTTTCAAAAAGCATCTTGCCCTTCTTGGTGCAGTTCGTTATCCAGCTTCCTTCCTTTCTTTTCTTTCCAGACTTGTATTTCCTCCCTGAAGTCTCCTGATTCTGTCTCACACCTTGGCTTTTTACATCTTCTCTTTTACTCTTCTCACATACTAAATCGCTTCTTACTAGCTGTCATCTTCTGGGAATCATCACTCTCTTCTTCTTCAGTCTTTGTTTCTGTAGAAACAAACTTTTTTCCGAAGTTTGGGAGAGAACAATAATATACAGTGAAGGAGTCTGACCTTTGAGCCAGTAGTGTAACTGAAGCAGTGATTCCTGTGGCCACAACATTTCCAAGTATTCTAATATTGCATTGGCAAAATTGTAGCTTCAGGGAATCTTCTGGAGAAGCGTGTGCAACCATAGTGGAGATCTGAGATCTGCTGTCTTTGTATGTCTTCATTCTGTGCTGTTACAATTACACCTGATAAGCCCACACAGCAGGCTAATTCGGTAGCATCATATAAAGTCTTTCAGAGACCACATTACTGGAGTTAAAAAAATAAATATACAATACATACATATGTTTTTTTTAAAAAAAGACTGTCTTTTAGTTGCATTTTACTCTTTGGTAATGATGAAACAAAACAGAAAGTGATTGAATTTGACAAATTAATGAAAAAATATGCAAGAAATATTTTTTACTTTTTAATTGGCTGTGTTTTCAAATGGTTAATTAGACCCATTTATGTATGCAATTATTCAACTTGTGTTAGCTTACATCCACTATGACAGAAGTAATTAAGCCTTAATAAGGACCTAAGTTCAGTCTACCTGAAATGAAAGGTGTTTTACTTCAAGGGATATTAAGAAGTGAAGAGTATAAGGTAGCGTAGATAAGGTTTGGTTTTGAAGCTCAGACAAAATGTCATGGGATGAAGGACTTCTGACTGTGACTTCAGTAATTCATATTTTTCTGGGCACGCTCAGTGTAGTCTCATATCTCCATCTGTTTCTAAGGTCTTGATAAGCTATCACAGATGCAGTAGTTTTTTATACACAGCCTTTTTTATGTAGCATGTTTTTCTAAACAGTGTGATTTCAAATTGAACACGAGTGCCTTTAGTTTACTCCAAAGTTTCATTATCTTCAGTTTTAAATGAGTTGTTTCTCGCTGTCAACGTTGTATCAGAATTTTGATGAAGCGGTATAACTTGTTGTTTGCAAAAAGCTTTTGGAAGCAGCAGGTGGACAAATGTGAAGGAAGGAGACCTGTAAAGAGAACTGGGCCTTTATGGAGAATGCAGGACGATAGTTCTGGGAGCTGTGTTAGTCACAAAGTAGGCAACAGGATAGGTAGTTCCTGCCTGTCTCTGGAAGTTTGCTGCAAGTGTGGTCTGAATATCCATGCATTTTGCAAGAGCATTTTGCAATTTGTCTTTGGTCTCTTCCTGAAAATGGTAAAAACTTTTTGTTGAGGTTATCTGTTGTTACACTAACGGCATAGGAAGAGTTTTGGTCAGAAGCTGGCTATGCTTTGTTATGGGTGATACAATGGTAAGCCTTATTTCATGCTTGCAAACATCTGTAAGCATTGTTTCAAAAGAGTGTATAACCAATTGAGACCATGTAACTTAATTTAAACTTGTTGTCTGGATGAACAAAAGTGGAATTAATGTGGCAGTCAAAAGATATGTATTACCAAAGACAATACAAATCTTTGATAACTGGTGTTGGAAATACAGTTTCAATAAACTTTACCCAGAGCTTATACTTTCTCCTCACCTTTCTGCTTCAGTGGAATAACTTCAAAATGTAGTTGTATTGCTTTGTGCTCCCTAAAACGTAAAGAAATATATTCACTAGGTCAAAAGACAAAGGGAACAAAAAATAACCCTTGCAGAACACAGGTTTGGTATTTTTTGTATTTATATTTTGTAACTGCTTCTTGCTGGGCAAATGTTCTGCTTCCAATCTTGTCTAAATCAGTGCATTCTTCAAGTAATCTGACTTTTTCTTGATGTCTCATGTTATTTTCTGCTCATTGTTTTTTGATTTCTCTATCTAGAGCATCTGTGGCAAATGGCTTAGAGAAGATGTCCGTAGTTTTTTTGCTTTGTTCTCGTATTGTTCTTGGGAAAAATGTACTTTTCAAGGAAGTAGAAACTACCTATGTTGGTATATTATGATAGTTTCTGTTTATCTGTGTTGCTGTCAATTTGATTACATAGTTGTTCAGAGTTTTTTTTTTTTCCTAGAAGGTTATACCAATCATAGAATCATAGAATATCCCAAGTTGGAAGGGACCTATAAGGATCATCAAGTCCAATTCCTGGCACCGCACAGGTCTACCCAAAATTTTTAGACCAATGTTTGAAACTATTCAGGATTCTGTTACAGAAAACTAAAAAAGGTCTAATAAGAAGACTCTCTGAAAATGCTTGGGATACGTGTGAGCAGCATCAAAATTCTCGATGGGAATGAATGTCTTAAATTTGCCAGTATGAAGGAAATGAGCTAGTTCTTGTTTCAAGTACTTGTGGGCTTCTCTAGAAGGCGTCTGCTGTCTACTGTTTGGTTTACTCATTTGTATCAACTGAAATCAGCTAACAGACATCAAGTGCAACTTGGATGTGTTTGCATTCAGATAAGACCATGACTTTGTTTCCTCCCTACCCCTGATGTTCTGCAAAATCAGAAGTAGCAAAGCTTTTGCTTAAGGAAGTGCTTTAAGTCTTCGCTCATACAAGTAATTCTCTTCAGAGAACTGGTGTCTAGGTTTCAGTATTTTGTCTGCTTACATTTCTGGTGATGTTACTAGTGTTGCAGTATGTGAAATATTAATACTACTTTAGGTAATTCCTAAAGCTTTTAAAGATAGCTTTTTTCCTTCCAAATTGTATGAAGGTTATCATTTGGTGAGAGCATGAAAACGGTAAGAATGCCTTACCTGTTGAATTCTTCAGAAGTTATCTTGGCCATTTCTCTCTCAGTTACTGGCTTTATATTGAGACTGCTTTCCTTGGTACTGTCAGGAAAAAAACACTGTTGAGGATCATCTTCATAATGATGGCTTTATCTGGGATCTGAAGGAATTTTCTTTAGATTGGTGTCTGCTTTCTACTTGTTTGCAGTCTGGCTAGTTCTCTGGTTCCTTCAAGCCTCCAGAAATCATTCTAATTTTTCAAGGTACCGTAAGAATCTTGAATCTGCAGATGGAAGTGGAAAATGATCGCCATGTTTAGAAGTTCAAAGTTTGGCTACAGGGCTAAAGCCATGTTTGAGAGGTACTCATTAGGTGGAGATAAGAAAAATGAAGGATGCAATCAAGACATATTTATTCGAATCACCATGTTATGCCCCACAGATGATGTCTTATGCTTCAGGATGCTTAGTGGTTCTGTTACGTGAGCCAAAACTTAAACAAGTTTAAAAACTTTTGTATATTACTGTTAATATGTCTTAGTAGCAGAGCATATATATTTTTTTTGGTATCAATACCCCTTGTTACTGTCCTTCATGTTTCTGTGTAGTTTTAGCGTCAATGTCTTGTGTTTTGGAGTAGAGTGAGTGTGTCTAGATCCACTTCTCAGTTTGAGCAGTCCCAAACTTCTTGTCTTTCTTGATCTTTATCAGCTGTTTTCATCATAACAGTATTAATGCAGTTTAATCCCCTCATCCCCCAACTGGCAGCTTCCTAGAATCTCCAGGTTTTGGTTACAGATTCCTGATGCATCTGTTTATGGGAGGTATAGGCAGACCTTAATGCTAATTGAAACTGTTTTCTATGTGCTTCGTTCTTCCTGTTCATACAGGTTACTGTCAAATAATGTTTCAAACAGACTGAATTTAAAGAATGGCCTTGACATCCCTGTTGATTGTTCTAATGCCATCTCCATCTGAAAAGGATCGATTAAAATAGTTTTCACAAGGTGCTTTAGAGTTCAGGGAGGAGTGAGGAGGAAGCTTCGTTTGAAATTCTTAGTATAGTATATAAAAAGACAAACTTTATTTTTCTATGTTGAAAACAAATGACAAGTGTTCTGTTCAAACTAGAAATTCTTGATTGTGTTACCTGAAAGCTACAACTTTGTGAAGGTGCAGCCTGGTTGAGCATGAATGGTCTTACGATGTTATTTGAATTACAAAACAAATTCCAGGATTTTGACAGTGTTTTATGAATGAAAAGATATTTCCAATGGTACTTTGTATCTGTGCAATTCCACAATAAGCTAGTAGGTGCCTGCTGGTACTAAGACAACAGTTTAATGCTGACTGTCAATTATCTAGTCTTTATAAGAGCAAGTGCAGTGTTTTTTTTTCAAATATGTCAGATGTTTCACCAGTAATTTTTTTTAGAGCACACAATAATTGTTTTGTAATTGTTATAATTAAATGTACAATAACAAGGAGGTAGATACCTTTTCACCACTTCTTTAGGGGATACATATTGAATATCTCTGTTTAACACTGACTGAAATATCACTTTCACATGTGGAAATTTCTCTCTTCTTAGCTTTAGACTGTAAGCAAAAGAAGTCAAGGTCAAGATCTGGAAGCAAGAAAAAAATGCTGCCATTACCTCATAGTGCTGATGAAGTTTACATACTCAGATGCAGGTACATAGGGTTATTTTAATGGAAATAAAATGTTTTGAAGAGCTTACTAACCTTAGTTATAGGAATATTTAGGATTGTCATGTAGTGTGTTTGTGATTAAATTGAATAAGGGGGGGAGGGAAAGTAGGTGATTATTTTCATTAATTTAGAAAAGGATTTGAATCAGTCATGCCTAGTTGTTAGATTGCCAACTCCTGTTTCTCTAGCTAAAATCATACTGGTCATGTTAAAGTAGTATTCTGTTCTTCAAAAGAAACCCTAAGAGGAACAGTTTATTATTGCTAGTGTTACGAATGTAAGAGTATAAGTTGTGTGAACCACGATGTTTTGTGTTCATGATTACTATAAGTGGACACAATTACTAGTTTTTGGCTAAAATATGTAGAAGCAGACTTCGAGAAAAATTAAGACTTCGTAATTTTTCAGTAATGCTAGATATATCTTGATGGAATAATTTTAATATTTGTGTAGGTTTTGTGGTCTGGTCTTTCGAGGACCTTTGTCTGTTCAAGAAGACTGGATAAAGCACTTGCAGCGACACATTGTCAACGCAAATCTTCCACGGACTGGAGCTGGCATGGTTGAAGTCACATCACTACTTAAAAAACCTGCTTCAATTACTGAAACTTCATTTTCTTTACTGATGGCAGAAGCAGCATCATAGAACAAGGAAACATTTTAAATTTGAATTGGATGTAAATTTGAAATACTTCGTCATTTTTTTAAATAAGTTGTTACACTAAATTATGTTTATAAATCCTAAAGACAAAAATAGAGGAAGTGGATTACAGTAACATCAAAATAAATTGAATACTTAACAGTTACAGTAAGTAGTCTTTATATTTTATATAGGGTGGAAGATGTGTTTTTAAGGTTTATTATGTTTTTGTCAGTTACTGTGTTCACTATCAATACAAAACCATTACGTGTATGGCAGCCATTTTTAAATCGTTGCACATGGGTACTTAAGACAGATTTTAATAAAAACAAAGAAACCATGTTCTCTGCAGTGTTACCCAAATCAAGGCTCTGTTTATTCCAAAAAGAATTACATAGTAAAATAAGATATTATTATATTTTGTTTGTATGTATGTAGTGTTTTGTATAATACCAAGAACTGCTAATACAATTTACTCAAATTAGGGCATTAAATACCATGTACTTCATAGTTCAAGAGACTGTTTCATTCAAATAGGGCAATTAGTACTCTTCTATCTAGGTGTGTAAGTGTTTTTTTTAAATCACATGAGGCTTTTTGTACTAAAAAGTGGAGGGAAACTTGTTTAAACAAATTTCTAAGATAAATATGTACATAATACTGGAAATTTGTGGTAAGGAAATATTCTTTACTTCAGTTGCATTTCTCACTGACAACAAAGTGGTGCATCCATGCTACCTCCTACTTGTCAACAAAGATGGTATTTACCCTTATGTTTTTGTATCATAGTAGATTCAATCCAACTTTCTTTATTACAAAGCATCTTGTTAACAAGTTTGTTTCTTTATGATGATTTACTTAAGGTCTGACATGCTTACAGAAGTTTCCTCTCTACTATTTTATTTAACACTGTAGAAATGTACTAGTAAGCATCGCTCACTACATGGTTAGAGTAGACTTTTCATTTATTATTCTGTTTAAAAGATTGATCATTTTAGAAAATTTGAACACAGATGGAAATGTTTCTACATATGAAGAGAATGTTTACAACTTAAATTTTAGAGCTTGTTTTGGATGTGATTATATGTATGAAAACTGTAACACTATGCTCATGCTAAGGACCTACTTACAGAATTACTGAAATAAATGTGCTGTGAGGATGGAAATACGGTGCAGGTGTCTTGGTCATGCTGAATTGTGTTTGTTCATTCAAGCTGTCTTCAGAAAACGATTTTTGTTTAAATCATAAGTCAGATTCCTCTACAAATCAATTTTGTATGCAAGTAACATTTCATTTTACTCATATAGGGTAACTAATACTGTAGTTAAGCCAAGGATATGCATTGATATTTTCTTTATATGTAAATAAAGTTAAAAGCAGTTAAAACAAGAGGAGTATTTTGGTAGAGTATATACATACCTCACTGCCAGTGAAATTGCTTTCCTATGGTATATCTCCTTACCAGAAAAAATCTCTAAATAAAAAGGTTTAAAGAAAATCTACATGTCTATAATGTGAAGCGTTTATTTGCTTTGTGTGAATTAAGTTTGTGAAACTGATTTGTCTTGACGAGATTAAAATACTCACATGATCTTAAGTAAAAATACATTTACTTGCAATAAAATGTTGTGTTCAGACATACTACATTTGGTTGGTGGAAAATATGAATAAATATCTGTCTTCCTGTGTGTGTGCAGTTAACACACAAGGCTTGTTAACGTTCTGATAAAATAGATGAGAAAAATAAACAGTTGTGCAGGATGGCGTCCTGAGACAAGGGCATCCAGTATCTATTAAGGTTATCATTAAATTAGTACTGTCAGGTGTTTTACTGTGAAAGTTCCTGCAGGTAACATAAGCATTATTGTCCAAATGTATTCCTACTGTTGTTTAATCAGAAAGCACACATCAGTACATCTAAAGGCTGGGGATAAAATTACGTTTGAGGTTTTAGGAAAGATAACTAGAATGTTGAAGTGTATTGCAGATGAATTATGTGTATACAGTCTAAGTAAAAAAAAAATCTAAATTTGTGGATGATTGTGGACTTTTTTATAATATGCTGTGAAAGTTGGAAGATTTACAGCAACATGTTGTTAAAGCAGAGAATAGAGGGAAGTGATCAGATCATCTTGAAAGTTTATAGTGCTTTAATAGAGTGGTTGTTTACTCATCACCAAAAAAGGTGCCTGTGAGCACCATATTCTATGTCTGTTTAACATGAAAAAATCAATTAAGTGCAAATTATATCTAATGTTAAGAATGTTTATAAGGCAAAGCCATACCATGCAAAATTTAGCAGTAGCAAAAGAATTAAACAGTAGCAAAAGCAGTAGCAAAAGAATTAAACTAGGTTTATAATAGTAAACCTAGTTAATGTTATTTAATTATTTAAGCCCCAATAGTGAACTATTTTGTTGTAACACCAAAAATGTAAAGTTGTGCCTGAAAAGCAGGAAGCTCTGGTCCTGGCTAGTTTCTAAAAATGATGCTCTTAGGTTAGGAGCAGCTGTTTTCAGTGGCAGGTTGTCTGAATGTGATCATTGGAGCTGCCCAGGTAGTTAGCTGTGTGGATTTTGTTAATGCTCCTGCCCTGCTTGTGTCAGGACCTTGCCAATAGAGTTTGAAAGAGAATCTTTGTTACAGAGAAGTCCTAGAAGTCCTCTGATCATTAAATTAATTGCATATTTAGCTGATATGGACTGAATGATCTTAAAAAAAAAAAAAAAAAAAAAAAGCCACTTTAAGCCTTTTTTTTTTTTTAGCTTCTAGACTTCAAGGGGGGCTATTTGTTTTCTTGGTTTCTATTGCTTGGAAATGCACATCTTTTGTTGTTAAGAGATAAACCCACCTTAACAGAATTAGGAAGGTTCTAATTAAGTGGGTAGAGGAGAGAGTTGATTAAGCCAGTCACTTTATTGTACAGATCTCGTGTTTTGAGATGTGTGTGGCACACATATACCTTGGAATCAATAACTGGGTCTTACTGTCTTGGTTTTACTGCTAGGCTATAGAGAGTCTATGGCAGTCTGTGCTAAAGAGCTGGACTTCTGTAATTGCACATATAAGCGTGAGTGTGCCTTTGTTCACCTTGGCTGTATTGCTTGAGACTAAAGGCTGCAGTGGTTTAGTGATTTTGTGGTTGTTCAGTTGGTTTTGGTTCCTTATCACAATCTTCCATGGTTCTGGAGTTGCACTTCTCTTCCAGTACCTAATATACCTTCTGGTAAAGCTCTTTCAAGTAACAGCCTCTGGAAAATTATGAAAATTTTCAGAATGCTTAAGCCAGGAAACTGTAAAAGTCCAATCCCACACTTCGTAAGATGACTGCCTGTATATTCTAATCCCAGTACCATTTCATTCGTTTAAAAGAGCTTTGTAGGACTTTGGAAATGTGATTTTGGAGTACCTGCCAAATGGTAGTGTGGCTAGGCTGTATGCATGGAAAACTGGATATGGAGGCAGGTGGATAGTAAAACATCACTACGCATTCAGTCCTGTTTGCTATGCGCTGCTTCATAAGGAGTGTGCGACTCCTTTTAGGTGGTCTGCACCCACAAGCTGAGGCAGTCCAGCTCTGCCTGCAGATGAAACTTACTTGTTTGGGGTTCACCTTACCCCTCAGTGGTGTCAGGGTTAAGCTGATGATTCTTCCTGATGGGAGAAAAAGCATAGAGAAGACAATAACACTACTTGGGAGTGAGAGCACCTAATGTGCAACAGACAGGGATTTTAACAGTTGGGATTTATGTCCTTGGCCAGACTTTTCATGTTTGAGCTATGTGCCTGCTTAAAGTCCTACCTTTTCAGTCATGCTCAGGAAAACCACCAAGGTCTCAGAGGTAAGTGCATCACAGGAAGAACGTGAATCATGAACTGAGGCTCAGAGGATGTGCATACATCTGAAGCTTGGAGATGTCAGCTTAATGAGACTGTTCCTACAAAGCTATTTTGAAATGAATGCTTTTTCTGGGCCCATTCTAGTTTATCCTGCATGTCAGTAAGACTTTAAAAGGGTTATTCATTCATTAAATCTACCCGATTTATAAAATCTGCAAGAAAAAAAAAATGGTGGAAAGTATGTGGAAAAATTATCAATGAATAACAAATACTTGTTTTTCACTAAATCAAAAGGGCTGTGAAAGGAGCCTCATCTCTTAAGTAATACCATTAACAAACTTTACTTTTTATCACAATGGTTAGTGTCCCAGATACTAAAACACCAGTTTCATATTTCAAAAGTCGGTTTATATAGTCTTGAATTTGTTTTGGTTTGTTTTTTAAAAAGCTTCTGTTTAGGTCAGAATTTATTTTAAAAGGTTGAGTTCAGATATTTCAATCTGCCATGCTTTGTAGGTGCTGTTGCCTGATATATGGGTAGCAATTTCAATGTAATGGAAAAAATTTGGCTGTAGTGCCAGGTCTGTAATATCTTGCAATAAAATGTTCCTTTTTAACAATGCAGGCTTCTTGGTGTTCTTCTCCTTGTCCTGAGGTGAGCCACACAGCATGCTTCAGCTAGATTGAGGGCTTTCACTCTTACCTGGATCTGCTTTGCTGGATGGGTCGAATGTCAAGGCTTAATGCTCATGGCCTTCTAAAAATGCAAACAGGTGAGGGAGGGAGAGAGGTGGTGTTTACATGCCAGGGTTGTAGGGAACATCACCAGAGCCAGGTGCCCAGGTCTGAAGCTGAATTTGTCATTTCATGAGTAACTATGGCTATCATCTGCAAAGAGCCCCCCTAGATCTTGTTTTGTATCCTCCAGTTTTGCTGATACCTTCTTTCCCAGGTTAAACCTGTTGCTGTATCCCTTACAGCATCAGTTTGCCTGGAGGTTTCTGGAGAGGCCTGGACCCAGCATACACTGAAACACCCTGTCAGCGCCTCTGGTGTGCCCCTGGGCCCTCTCCATTTCTCCTCAGCCTCAGCTGTACCATGGAAGGATTAATTGCCATACCATAACCATATGTATGTACACACCACACCAAAAATGTAGAAGTTGACCGCGTTTAGCCACCTTCCCCTCCCCCCTCCTTTTTTTAAAGAGCTGGAAAGTGGGTTTCAAGGATTGATAACCTAGCATTGCTTGTTCTCATCTCTAGGCGGGCAATAGGCTGACAAACTTTTGTTCAAAAAGAAAAAAAATCCTAGTTTTAGCATCCCATTCCCCTATTGCAGTGTAAGTCAGCGTCAACCTTTTTGTAAAACTTAGGCTTAACAAGTAGAAAGAAAGTGTGGTCTAAGTGGCTGGTGTGGGTGCAGTGGTATGGCTGTGGCCCTGTCCTTCAGGGTATCCCCTCTGGCTGGCTTCACCAGCCCAGACAGCTCTGCGGGGCCGGAACATGGGGCAGGTGGGTCTGCGCAGTGTGGCGCTACTTAGGAATATGGCTTGCATTTGTTGTCTGGACTGATGTGCTATTAATTCATCTAGAAATTTAAAAAAAAAAAAAAAAAAAGGAATAAATGCATCCCTGTAGGAATGCTCTTGTGGTGAAAGCAGTTTCTCTGCAAAGCCCCAAGAGACAGGCTTTTCTCAGGCAGGCAGGCTCCGTGCATTTTTTTTTTCTCCAGTTAAAACCCAAGGAACAAGCAGTGCTGGTAACAGTGAGCACAGAGCCCTCACCTACACCTGAGCAACTGCAGGGGGGAGCTGGGGGGCTGGAGCCTTCTCATGACTTCCTAAATATTTGTACCTCTCACCTTGTATAAATGGCAGCACTGGGGAGATTTGTCTCCTATATTTTCACCTAGAAGTTCACTTTTAACTCACAAGAGTTCAGGCTTGTGTGTTCAGTGATGATGATGATAATCACTCTGCTTTTGTCAGAGACCTGCAACATGAAACATACTTGTTATTTTTCTGCTGACTGTTCCTAAATGTATCAATAGTCTGCCACTTCACAGAATCTGTTTATTAGAAACTCCAAACCTTCTCATGCTTAGACATTTGCTTATGTATATCTAAGTCAGCAGCAGCTGTGAATCATGCTTGTAGCTCTCTGAAAGCCATCCAAATTCATCACCACTGCTGTAGCAACAAACACTGAAGCACTGAATCCCATTGTGCTCTTGGAGACAGCTCCAGCAAGGCAGTGGTTGATAAAACAGCATGCGAGCTACCACGATTAACCTGTGTTTTAACCAAATAAGGAACTGCATGTCAGCCAGGTAGTATCTTGCTGACAAGAGGTAATTCTTTCATCTGTGTCTTCCATGAAAAAAACAATTGTGTGTAAGTAGGAGAAAGAAAATAACCTTATTTTGATAAAGAAGCAGGAAAAAAGTACGTTGAAATAGAAATCGCAAGCAGCGAAAGACAGTCTAAACCTGAGGTTGATGCACAGTTGACAGTCTCCAAAATCCAGCTGATGGCTGCATTTCTCGTGCCTCTCAGTCTTCAGGGGTGTGCTTTGTATTCCTGGCACAGAGGTGGTTAGGACACGTGTTAGCCTTGCTACAGCATCCAAGGAATAAATTTTAACTCCAGACTCTTAAATAGGCAGTGACAGGGAAAAGTGGCTTTAAATCCAAGTTCTTGTGTTGGAAGGCCACCCACGCCCTTTGCCATCTGGAGTATGTTTGCTGTTGCTGTTTAAGTGCTGTTTATAAATCCACAGACAC